AACATGAAGCAGAATTCCCAGTATGAATGATTTGTTTTAGAATTACTTTGTGCGGTTCATAAACAGTCACACCTCACTCTCAGGGAGAGATGGGTTATCATTAATGTCCACAGAGTCCTTGTCCTCCAGCCTGGTGGCAAATGTCCCACTAAGGGAATGAACATTTCACTGTGAGTGAATAATGGAACTTGTCAAGCTGGATTTCTGATCCAAATTGTAGGAAAAACTTATGAGTCACAGCGAGCCAGGATGTTGTTCAGTTGTTTCCTGACTGAGCTAGTAGATGGCAGTGTAGACAGAAAACACACCAGAAAGGCTGGTGGTGCGTTCATCTGAAAACACACACACACTAAAACCTGTGAATGATGTGATCTCACTGCTCACTGTTGTCCCTCTGTTGACTCTTAAACTTTTTCTCAGATCTTTTTCTAGGAGCTCGGTCTTACTCAATAACACTTAAACAGGAGGGAGATTGAGATAAATAATGCCAGAGGCCTGTGAGCTTGAGGGTCTTGCGCGGTATCTTCTCCTCAGTATCCGTTCCTAAGACTGCTCTTGTGGACAGAGAGCTCAGATGTTGGTCCTGGGATTTGCTGGATCCACTCAGCCAGTTTAGGGTCAATGCCCCAAGTGCTCCAATTACCACAGGGGACCACTGTTCCCTTTACTCTCAGTGTCTTCTTGAGCTCCTCTCTCAGCGCTCAGTATTTCTCAAACTTCTCATGTTCCTTTTTCCCCATGTTGCTATCAGTTGGTATAGGTACATCTATCGCTACGGCCATCTTCCTCTGCTTGTCTACCGCAACTATGTCTAGTTGGTTAGCCATCACCAGCTTGTCCATCTGTGTCTACCACCCTAGGGGGCGTTTCCCGTTTCCAACTTTGAGGTTCCAGGCCATACTCGGCACAGATGTTCACCACCTTCTTTCTGCTTAGCATAAAGTCTCAGGGTGCTGGATTTAGGGTGAAACCCTCCATGCATGGTGAGGAGTTTTCTTGTCTTGATGTAAGTGGCTTCTATCTCCTCCTTTGGTCAGCTTGTTATCCCAGAAGGGCATCTGATGACCAGGAGTAGGGATGTGCGATACCACTGATTTCCTTTCCGATCCGATACCAAGTAAAATTCAGGGTGGTATCGACGATACTGATCCGATACCGATGCTTTGTACAAAAACTTAATGTTTATCATTGTATTTCATAATACAATATATAATTGTATTATGTAAGTGTAATAATAATATAAAGCTATAGCTTCATAATGATTACAGGACATCAGACTACTTGTTCTTATTGCTTAATACTGCAGAATTATCATATAGAAATAAAAAAAAACTTGAAGTTGTGCGCTATTTGAACACCTTGCCCGCCTGCAGCACTAAAGGACTCCGCGAGAGACGTCTATCTCGCCCTAGCAGCACCTGTCCTTCTCCTCCTCTTAGGCTCACCTCAACATAAGCTCATAATATTCTGTGATATGATTTACTCTGAGGTGTTTGACGAGGTTAGTGGTGTTGCCACAACACCTCACTGTCTTGCCGCATGTATCGCAAACCGCATCTTGGCTGTTTGTGGAGGTAAAATACCTCCACACATGACTCAGATTACGCTCAGCCATTGTTGTGAGTGCGCACGCCAGGGGCTGCAACATATTTATACTTCGCATATGACTATGAAAGGCATAAGAGGAAGTAGTTCCTTCCTATTTAGACGATCCGAATGATATAGTTTAGTCCACTGTGTTCCTGTTAATGATAAACTACAAATTTACCCCAAAGTACTAAAATATCGATATTTTAATATGAGAAACGATTCTATAACATAAATTACTGGTATCGGAAGAATCGATATTTCAGTATCGATCCGCACACCACTACTGGTTAGCCTCGTCAGAGAAGTCTGGATTTCAATATGGCAATGCCCTCGAAAACGGTTGTTTTGTTAGCCCTCTACAAAAACAAATTACTACTAAACACAATTGCAGCCATAGCTGAACTCAGTGGGCCGATGGTGATTTTTCGTTTTTATGGGCGGATGTTTTTTTTTCTTCTTTTTTTTCCCGTAACAGTGCAGGGACACCGGCCCTCGTGGACTGGGATTGGGGATCCCTGGTTTGGGATGACCGATTCCAGAGGTGGCAAACTCCAGGCCTTGAGGGCCGGTGTCCTGCATGTTTTAGATTTGTCCTTGATCCATCACAGCTGATTTGGATTGCTAAATTACCTCCCCAACATTTCTTGAAGTTCTCCAGAAGCCCGGTAATGAACTAATCATGTGATTCAGGTGTGTTGACCCAGGGTGTTATCTAAAACCTGCAGGACATTGGCTATCGAGGCCTGGAGTTTGCCACCCCTGACCTCTTCATTCACAAATATTTGCAGAGACCGTCTGCACGTCTAGGTGCTTTCTTTTATAAATCTGGATTACGAGGTATAGCCCAACAGTTCTCACTTGACATTATAACAGTATAAACTTGGTTTAAGGGGTAAAGGGCTCAGAAACATTTCTTGGAATTGCATGTGTACTACAGTCAGGTACATAAATATTGGGACATCGACACAATTCTAACATTTTTGGCTCTATACACCACCACAATGGATTCCAAATGAAACGAACAAGATGTGCTTTAACTGTAGACTGTCAGCTTTATTTGAGGGTATTTACATC